AAAAAAAAAAAGAATAAGTGGTCCAGTTGTCAGTGAGGAATTCCTGGGCTGCCTACTGTGTGTCCACTGTGGCTATAGCCTCAGGGGCTCTTAAAAAAACTGGATCTTCAACCAGAGGAAAACGAAGAGAAACATCTGTGATGGATAGTCTTGGTTGTGAAATTGGCTACATCTGGAAATAGCTAAAACCTAAAGGACTGGGCACATCTTTAAGGGATTTTTTTTCTTAATTAAAGCATTTGAAGTAGGAAGACCCAGTTCTAATCCAGATCTTTGAGGTAGGAAGATCCTTTAATCTGGGCCAGTCCTTCTGCTGGCAGCCTAAATAGAGGACATAGAAAAAGGAAGCTTGCTCTCTCCTTGCCTGCTTGCTCTTGCTCTCACTAACAAGACCATTCCTCCCAGTGAAGGAGCCTGCTTTTTCAGGATTCCAGCATATACTGAAGATGAATTGAGACATCCAGGCTCACAGACTGAACAACTACTGGGTTCTTGGACCCTCTCTTGATAGACAGCCATTGTTGGAGCAGCTGGACCACACAACCAGTAAGCCAAGCCATTCTACTAAATCGTGTGTGTGTGTGTGTGTGTGTGTGTGTGTGTGTGTGTGTGTGTGTGTGTGTGTGTAGTGTGTATGGGATTTATTAGAATGCATATATCCTGACTAATGCAACCCAAATTGTCAAGGCTTTGTGACACGTTGCCAATTTTTATCACACAGTCTAATACCATCTGTGTGTGTGTGTGTGTGTGTGTGTGTGTGTGTGTGTGTGTGTGTGTGTTTTGCAGGTTCATATGTACTCATGCATGAAGAGGCTACAGAACAAACTGTCATTCCTTAGATATCTTCCACCTTGATTTTTGAGAGCATCTTTGTTTGGGACTTGGGCAGTACCTGGCTCCAACATTTATGCTATTTTCAATAAACTAAGCAAATTCTTTGAAACTGTATTCATTTAGTTTTATTAATATCTACTAAACACACTTATTATAAAACAACTAAAAATACTCTGGATGTTGAGAAGTAAATAACACATTTCTAAATAACAATGGAATCGAGAACTATTTTAGACTGAACGGTAACCAGTGGAGACATACAGAATGTCAGTACTGCAGCAAAAGCAGACCTCAGAGGAAAACTCATAATACTAAAATACATGTGTAAGGAAAGAAAACAGACTGCAATATCAGTGACCTAAGCATCTGTTGCAAAAAGTTGAATGAAGATCTTCAAGAAAGCTAGAAGAAATAAGAAATTTCTATATATCTAAAAATAAAGAAAAAAAGCTCAAATAAATAAAATAAATGAGGAAAGATAAAGATTGGAGCTTTGTAAAACAAGAACAATTAGTAATCCCAAAGCAAGACTGATCTAAGAGAAAAGTACAGAAAAAAAATTGTCAATATCAGCAACAAATATGGCTTAACACAAAATTTAACTCAATATTTTCTGGTTTTGTTTTGTTTGTTGAGACAGGGTTTCTCTGTATAACAGCCCTGGTTGTCCTGGAACTCACTCTGTAGACCAGGCTGGCCTGGAACTCAGAGATCTGCCTGCCTCTGCCTCCAGAGTGCTGAGATTGCAGGTGTATGCTACCACTGCCTGGCTCATTAACGCAATATTTCCACAAAAATATTTTACTACCTATAAAGGGCACCAAGTATGAGGAGGAAGAGAAATGGGGTGAAATTAGTTTTGAAACCACCCATAAAAATCAGATTTCAGATTCTTTGCATTCAATTTAATACAACATTCGCTGGACAATAACACGGACTCCTATCAATTTGACAGTCAAGGCCTAGAAAAGAAAAAAAATATCATATGCTGTGGACTTGGACAGAACTGAGTCAACTCCAGCCCTAACCATGATCCCAGCTCTAACCATGATCCTAAGAATATGACTTTAGGAAAATGTATAACCTCTCTGGAAGCTCGATTGTCTCATATTAAAAAAAAATGAAAACAATAGCCAAACTTACTAGGGACATGTTGGAAGGGTGACAGGTTGAAGCACCAAGCAAGTTCAAGTTCCCACAGACTCTCTTCACCATAATGACCCCTGATCTCAGGTTTACTATTTGAATATTTGTAGGGAAAATGCAAAATCATCAGAAAATAAGATCATTCATTTTGAAGCTTCACATTTCATTTCCTTTGTCCATTCCAACAGGTGAGGTTTGACCGGCAATTTTTCAAAAAAATAATGTTACCAGCTGTGCTGAGGATGTAGTTCAATGGTGTACAGGCTTCTCTACCATGTGTATAAGTTCTCAGATTTGATTCTCAGTTTCAGTAAGAGAAAAAAAGAGAAGTTAGTAATATATAAGCAATATAAAAGCACCACATGAGAGAGTTAAAATGAAATAACAATGTAAAGTTGCACTCTGCTTTGGTGGAGTAATTTTTTCTTGAGTATTAGTGGTATGCAGTACAAACTAAGCTGATCATGTAATGTTGCTATCATTGGTTGGAAAGTTCTTCTATCTCTGGTGTTGACATTGTAGTAGAGACCTCTTCCTGACAACTTCAGCTTTGCATCAGTGTGGTTTCTGAGTCTTTCATCTTGATGCATGCTACGGAAGTGTCCTAAGATCCAAATTTATTCAGATATTAGAACTACACAGTGGATGCTCCGGATTCTTCACACACTGAACAAACCTGACAGGCCTGTGGGAGAGAAGCAAGAAAGGAAATCAAGGGACAGAATGAGGACTGGCGAGATGGATCCTAAGGTAAAGGCACTCACTGCCATGCCCAGTGACCTGAGAGTTTGATCTCAGACTTCATGTGGTAGAAGAAAGCACTGATTCCTACAAGTTGTCCTCAGAGGCCCACATGAAAGCTATGGTATGTGTATGCATGTGCGGATGCATATTCATACAGTAAATAAATAAATAAATAAATAAATAAATAAATAAATAAATAAATAAATAAATAAATATGTAACAAAAATGTGACAAAAATTTGAGAGGGAAGAGACTGAATGATGCACCTATGGTCCAACTCGTCAATGAAAGAAGACCCTCCTTGGCAACCAAAGGAAGATGGACCACTGAGCATCCACCCACATGCCTCTCCTCAGCAACAACACTGAGAAATGCCTAAGTCAGGAGTCAGTGACTTGACAGTGTGCCTCAATTTATTTGCAGTTCACTTGTAAGACCATAAAACTAAATACCAAGGAAGACATGTGATGGAAATGTATGGAGGTGAAAAAATGAGCATGTGACAGCTAATGATCATGAGAGGTGGCCACTGAGACCAGGCCCACCCACAGTTCCTGATGATTCTGCTTTCCTCAGTCAGGAAGCTTCCCGGTGACTTTTCGGTAAAGGCATGAGACAGAACAGAACTCAGGGACCATGCTTACGAGGTTTGGATGCCACTGTCAGAGGACCATGCTTGCTCTACACATAGCATGCTCAGGTATCTAACTGGTAAATTAAAAAGACTGTCATTTCTTAAATGTAAGCTAACAAAACCATAGAGTCTGTGCTCTGCAACCTTCTCCTAGTTGGCCAGTACTATTTCCCATACAAAGTATCTTTCAGTGACTTAGCCTAGTCAGCTGTCTACAGACTTTCTTTTATAGTTAATCTTTTCCTTTCTTCTGTTTTTTGCATTTAACTTCTGCAGCATGTTGGTGTTTGTTTGTTTTTTTTTTCCTGGCAGTTTCCAAAGAACAGCCAGCTGATTGATGGGAAATTCAGGCCCTCTGGGAAATGAGCCATCCATCTTTTAAATCTGTCCTTCTGCCTTTGAGATATGGTGGGTGATGTGAAGAGATACAAAATATTCCATCTCTTCAGCTTGTATATACTTCAGGAAGCCTTTTCTCTATGCTTTAGTCTTAGCTGAAGCTATTCCTCACAAGAAAAGCTCCCAAAGTGCTTCTTTGTGAAGGTAGATGTCCCTGCCTGTATCATTGGCCACAACCAGTTACAAACAATGAGGGGGCCCCCCAGTTTTGGAGTTACAGGTAACTTTAAAGATATATACCTGCAGGTAGGTTAATGGTAAGTTTTTGTTAAGCATTTACATTGGTTTTGGTCTTAATCTAGAAAAGATAAATCTTTGTAGACTGCCATGTGGAAATTTACCAAATAATGGGCATTTACATTTGAATCTAACTAACTAAGGAGATTTCACATGAAAATGTGTAGCCAGCCACAGACTTTTAAAACTTAGGAGAAAAGTCTCTGTTGGCAAGACACGTTTTTGTTCCCCTGAAGCCCAGCAGTAAAGCAAGAAGTGCATCCCCTGAGGGTCATTCAGCTTTTGGAGCAAGTCACTGCTCAGGGATGGCAGAGAAGGAGGACGAGAATGAATGGGCAGGCGGCCAGATTTAAGCCATTGACTAGGGAAATAAGATATGTTTGGTGGCAGGGCATAATGCATCATACATCACACACCACCAACGCCTGGGAAGGATCCCTGAAGTCCTCTCAGTTCACACAACTGGTTTTTCTTTTTTCCCACAAGAACTCAATTACCTGTAGTTATCCTGGCAGGAAAAAGTGATATTCATTTGGTGCACAATCAACTTCAGATCATTTATAGAGGAGCCTGAGCATGAGTTACTAGGGAAGAAAAAAAATATTCAAATAATAAGATCTTTCAAATTCTCTGAGTGTCTTGCTTTGTCTGCATAACTGCTCCTGGGAACAGCATTGAAGAGAGGTGAATCACAAGTCCACCTCTGGGGTTCTCAGGTCAGCAGGAGTGAAGGTGTGAAGCAGTCACTGTCCTTTGTGGAGACAGAATTAAGAGACCATAAGGAGGGCTAAGTGCAGAGTAAGCCCCTTTCACTTGCTAAGCCTGTCTGTTCCCAGCATGTTCTTGTTATCTTGAATTTCTTCGCAGGCTGATTCATATCCTATCACTCTGCTACAAAGTAGAGACATACCTGGAATCTGCTTCGATGTCATGCATCACCCAGGCCTGTAGTTTATGCACCTTTTTTGGGTCCAAATTAAAGACTTCTACACTTCCAAAGGTGCTAAAACAGAAGAGATAAATAACATCACTGACTCCAAGCCAAAGTGCAGGGCATCCATACCTCCTGTCACAATCCAGCCAGTGGGACACCACTGAGTAGAACCTACCTTGCCTCCCACCTTTCTTCATTCACTATGACTCTTGGTTACCAGATTTTCAAGGTAAGATTTATTTTTCAAGGCAAGCTTTATCTCTGTTACAGCTCTGGCTGTCCTGGAACTTGCTTTAAGACCAGTGTGGTCTCGAACTCACTGAGCTCCACCTGCTTTTGTTTCCTATGCTGGAATCAAAGGCTTGAGCCACCACTGTCCAGCTCAAGATAAAATTTTTAACTATTCTTTGGTAATGATTAATATATCTAAGATACTTGATGTTCAAAGAGTAGCATTACCAGAGAGCTGGTTACAACCATAGAATCTCTGTTCACTAACACTTATCTAGATTCTTCCTTGTTAGTGTAAATAGCTACCTCTCCTGTGGCAGGGACTTAGCTCTCTGCTATCAGATGACAAGATTCTGAGTGCCCATAGGAAAAGAGGGTCAGAGGAAGACAAAAGAGTTAATATTGCTTTGTTTGTTTACTTAAACATTAAAACAGAAGAGAGGAACAGTTAATAGAGGTACCTACAGTGCCCATAGAAAATTAATATGTGCTTCCATTTTCAGAAGTATTTTTGTCAGAGAAAAATTAGAGAACAAAGGCCATGGACGTGATAGAAATTAAGATGAGAAGGAGACCAGAGATGGGAGGCTTGAATGTGGACCAATTCAGTCCTGAGGATGAAATGAGGAAATAATAGCTGATGTGCACTGGGGAGTTTTCATTAGGCATGGAGCTCAGCACTGTTCACAGTATATCTCCATTTTTCTCTACAGCATCCTCATCATTTATGTATACAGGGACTCTCAGAGGCTAGGTGCCCGTATGTGTAATGACCTCTGCTGTCCACCCTGTTAAACCAATACAATGCTTTGTGACAATGTTGCCAAGAGAGGGTGATGACCCAGGATACTTCTCCTGCTGAAGTGGGATTCTCACTCTTCACAGGGGAGACAGAAGTGAGCCATTATTTCTGAATGGAGAGGATGCAGACAGAGAAAAGAGGGGAGTCAGGCCAGAGAGTATGGGTGAAATAGGAAGATAGAATTCAAGGGGAAAGAAAGCTGAGAAAATTATGTGGGACCTCAAAAAATCAAAAGTGATGGCTGGAAACCATGTAGTGGCTCTTAGGAACATTGGAGGATTTTAGACAAAGAAGAAACCAGACCAAACATTGACCCAGAATAAAAATATCTTCAGAGAATACAGACGTTTTGCCCATTTTAAGCTGAGCTATTTAGTACATAAAAGAAGGCACATCCTTTCGAGGAATGCCAGGTCCAACAGACTATGGTAACTGCAATTAACTAACCCTTGCAAACAGAATACAAACAAAGGAAAGAAGTACCTGTTTTTGTAAAATGGTTCACTGAGGGACCCGTTGAGCATCACTTGGACAACACCACAGGCAGCTTCTGCAAACTTAAAAAGAAGTCCATCATTATTCTCCAGCAATTCCATTCAAACGAATATTTAGTACTAGAAAGGGAGGGAGAGGATAGGCTCGACACCGTCAACACAGGAATGGTCAATCTATCCAATGGTCTAAGCGATTGGAAGCATGTGCTTGGCATGAGTTCTTGATACAGCCATGTCAGTCTGTAAATGATGCAGAAGTTGAAAGTCTAGAGTGGGAAACAGAGTATCTCTAGAGGAAGGAAAGGAAGGCACTCACCTGGTGTCACCTGTAGAGGCTACATTTTTTTTTTTTTTTTTGGTTTTTTGAGACAGGGTTCTCTGTGTAGCTTTGTGCCTTTCCTGGAACTTGCTTTGGAGACCAGGCTGGCCTCGAACTCGCAGAGATTCACCTGCCTCTGCCTCCCGAGTGCTGGGATTAAAGGTGTGCACCACCACTGCCCGGCGAGGCTACATCTTATTTAGCAGAAGCAAGGTGGACAATTTAGGGGTAAGGGAAATGGAATACTGTGGAAAGAGAAACCTAGGTAAGAGACAGGGACCCTGAGGCTCTAAAAAGTCACAAAGAAAAGGGGAGATTGCTTGAAGAACTCGCTGTGTAGACCAGGCTGGCTTTGGACTCACAGAGAGAGTTTTACTTCTTCATGCAACCAACTTTCATCTGGAAAATTTGCTAAGAACTGGAGTAAACAATGTGAACAGAGTACTGTCCAGCTTCCTCTGGAGACAGACCCAGACTTCTGGGACTTAGGTCTCCTTCCATAACATCTGTGCATAGTACCCAATTCATACACTATAATAATAGGTTGAACAGCTTTAGCCATTGGTATGAAGATAGCTGGGAGAAATGAGAGCTTGGCTTCCCAGGTTCTTCTGGAGTCTTCAGTGATTTATATCTAGTACATGGCAAAGGGTGAGTTTTGCTCAGTAAAATTCCAAGGAAGGAAAAGCTGACAGGAAAAAGGAAGATATCCTGTACTAGAGATTAGGAAAGAACAAAAAAAGTGCCATATAGGAGTCCACGTCGCAAAGAGTAGGTGGGATTCCACCACGTGAAGAAGCTGTGACTGGAAGAGGCCCTGAGTGTAGGAGAACAGTGGTGTCAGTGGGGGAAACTCATGGAACGCCAAATACTTCGTTGAGGAAATTGAACATTATTCTGCAGGTGACCTCTACAACACTGGAAGATTTTTTGCTGAATTATGAAGACCAGGGATGCTTGTCTAGCTAAGGAGAGAGATGGACAGACCCCTGATCCTTAAGAATAATCATTAAACACTGACTCAAAAGAGCACTGGACCCCACAATGTAGAAGTTTCATGAGTCCCATGACACAAGATAAACATTGGCTCAGTTGAGGGCTCAAGGTCACATGACTTAGCAGCAAGAGGATCTGGAGACTCAAACCTGTAAGAAGAACAATCCTTACTGTCAATGATAGGGACTAGTCTGTTTGCCTTCCTCCATGAGAGTCTGGCGAGGATCAAGGTGAGGGTGCCACAGTGTATCAGAAGGCAGGGTGCCTTCGGTCACCCTCACCATTGAACTCTTAGTACGAAGGGTTGAGATGGGAGTACAAGAAAGCACTAAGTACATATAAAACGTGACCTCCTGTAGAAGGTTTTGGAGATAGTGTGTCTGTAAAACATATCCCAGAGTGATAACATAACTGAAAAGCATTCTCTGGAAAAGCAAGCAAACAAAAATATACAGTGTCTCTGAGTTTTCAAAACTTGTAGTAAGTACTCAACAAATATTTTTTGAATGGATAGGTTCTGTTACTTAACAAGATAGTAGTATTTTATTTAAATGCAGCAGCAACATTCTAGAATACATATATGTTGATCTCCATTTGATGGAGACAAAAATGAGGAATCTATGGTCAGAATGTCTAAGAAAATTGCCTATTAAAATGTGTCCCCTAAGAATAAGGCCATCTGAATCAACTGAGCAAGGTTCATATGAATTCACAGAGACTCAAGCAGCAAGCACAGAGCCTACATGAGTCTACACCAGGTCCTCTGTGTATGTATTAGAGCTTTCAGATTAGTATTTTTTAATATGGGATTCTGATTATATGAATGAATGAGTCTTTGATTCTTGTGACTGCTCTTGGGGCTCTTTTCTTTCTGTTGATTGCCTTGTCTAGCCTCAATGCGAAAGTTTTTACTTTATCTTTTGTATTTTATTTTGTCATGTTGGTTATCTCTTAAAAGCCTGTTCTTTTCGAATAAGAGACAAAAAGAGAATGGATACAGAGGCAGGTGGGGGAGGTGGGGAGGAACTGGGAGTAGTAGAGGCATGGTAAACTATAATTAGGATATACTGAATAAGAAAAGAATCTATTTTCAATAAAAAGAAAAAAAATGACTTACTACTAAAAAAAAAGTGTCCCTTCACTTCCATGCTAATTTTTTGTCTCCCTACACCACTCCACTCCTAAGTCCCCTTGAGGTAGGAATTTAGTTGATACAGGGAGGTGAAGAAGAGCACACCTGCATTCATGCAATTATTCTACCACTGATCTAATTCCTGACTCTTAACCTGCCATTTAAAAGCCATAAGCAGTAAGCAGATAGTATGAAGTCAAGGCTAATGCTCTAAAATTAGGCTGACCTACACTAGGACCTCAGTTCAGCTACTTACCAGCCAATGACCTTGGATTTAGTCTCTTTTAAGAAATTTTTATTAGTTCTTAGAGAGTTTTTTCACAACGAGTTTTGAGCATATTCACCACTTGCCCAGCTCCTCCCAAATCTACCCACCACCACCACCACCACCCAACTTTGTGTCCTCTTTTCTTTTCCTACCCATCAAGTCCAACTTCTATTGGCTAGATATTCATGAATAAGTGGCCTGCCCCCAGAGCATGGTTGACCTACCTATGGCAACACACTTAAAGAAAACTGACTCCGGCCCAGCAGCTATCCGTCACCAGGAGTTGCCCTGCTAGTGAGGACCCTTTGTGTCCACCTCCCCTCTCCATGCTGAGAGTTGTCCTTAGGTTGGTACAGGTCATGTGCATGTTGTTACAACTGCTGGGAGTTTATATGTGCAACTTTCCTGTTGTGCGCAGAGAACACGGTTTCCTGGTATTCATTCACTGCCTCCAGCTTTTACAGTCTTTCTTCCCCTTCTTCTGCAATTAGTCTCTTAAGCTAAGAATATTAGTGTCTTCACCTCTAGTGTAAAAATTTGTTCAATTCTTACACTATCTATTTGGAGAGAGAAATGGGAATGACATAGAGACATGGGACTTGTTGACTGTGAAATGTGTATGCTTCTGTGGCTTGGATGCGTGTTCTTCCACTCTCAGCCCCTAGGTCCTAGGTTGGAAACTGGGTTGGTAAGAGCACAACGGCTCTACCCTCATGAATGACGTCAGTACTCTTGTGAAGGGGCTCAGGGAAATTCTCTAGGCATCTTTTGTCTTCTGACATGTGGGGACACAGCAATGAGTTGGCATCTGAGAAACACAGAACAGCCCTCATTAGACGTCAAATCTGCTACCACCTTGACCTGCTGGCACTTAACCCAACTGAGGTCCTTTCTAAATTACACAACCTGAGCTTTTGGTTAGAGCAGGGCCAGTGGACTAAGGCACATGTTTTGACAAATGTGTTTCCATCTTCCACACTTCCTCAG